AAAAAAAAAAAGACCGGTGACAAACATTTTTTTTTATTTAAATCAACGGGAATTTTTAGCTACACATTGTTGGTTATACTAAAATTCCAAAATTTTTCCAAAAATTCAGCGTAAAAAGTTCGAAATTTGTTCAAAATATTTTTGATTTTTTCTAAATGTTTTAAATAGTGTCTATCATTGCTTTTTATGGGTTGGGTTAAAGCGCAAACAATATTCTCATATAAAAAAATTAGCAAACAAAATTTTACTTGAAAAACATTGTGAATCTGAAAAATATACATAACAGCTTTTTGAGTCACTGTATTTGTCTATAATAACTCCAGTTGAAGTTTTTTATTTAAATAATGAAGTTTCGTTGTCGCCTTTAGTTCCATCCTGAAACGGAGACGATGCCATTAATATGATCTCAAAAACCACATCATTACTTAAATAAATTAAAAATATAAACAATTAACAATTTTTTTTAAATAACTAAACAAATACAACAAAACTATAGTTTTTATTCTCTTAAAATAAAAAGTTTTTGGTACATATTTTCCAGATTTGGTAGATTTTTTCAAGTGGATGGTAAGTATTTTTGTACGTCAGTGGCAACCCTGGTTGCAATTTTTGGTGGCAAATTTAACGTCCAAGTGCCGTTGAGGTACCATAAACCTCCAACGTAGTTAATAAAATTGAGAACCACTACAAGCCTCCCAAAGTGAGTTCTGGAATTTCAAACAGATCGTGTACTCTTTTGAGGCTATATTGCACACTTATGTATGCACGTCCTGCGCCTACGACGATTACTGAAGGTTGTGGAAAAAATTTCTCCTATACATATGTAACAAATTTAAGATAATCATTAATATCTTCATGATCCAATGATTGGACTAAAAACCAACTTAGTATGGGAACACCTGTGAGGTAACACCTTTCCTTTAAAAAAAATAAATTATATAAATCGCTTAACGTGGTCCAAGGTTCTGCGGTAACATATATAAAAGAAAAATATTCCGATGCATTCATAATCTTCTCCTTTTTGTGAAGTGGGTTTCACCCCACGTGAGAAGTAATTAAAAGGGTTTCGTGACTTATGGTTCCGAAGTTATAGCTGATAAAAAATTCCACGCCCATGTTAAGTGCTACGCCCCCTTTTACAAATTTGTTTTATATATACCTTACTATAAGCACCCACCATAGATATGAGTAAATAATTCACGTCTATGGGAGGTGACACGCCCCCTTTCCCAGTACTGCCCAATTTTCTCTATGCCTATAACTTTCGCGGGGTAAAAACAAATAAGTGTGCAAAGTTTCGTGCGATTCCCTGTCGCGGCTCAGAAATTATAAGGTAATAAACAAACAGGCATTCACATTTATATTTAAATAGATATTCAGAAAACAAAGGAACACGTTTGTTGTATTTAAAAATAAAATAAATATACTCCACATGGAGTGACGTACAAACGTATTGACGCAGAAAATGTTCCGCAATTAAATTTTTTTTGCTTAAAAATTACTTGTTTAGTTAAATCTACCTCTGTTTATTTTTAACTCTGTCACATGAAAATACGCAAATAAACCGGTGAGGGCACGCCGCTTTCAGACGCACTTAACCAAAATAAGTCCGTACGCGCTCGTAGCATTGCACGTCAGCCTTCAACTAAAAATAACCGTTTTCCACTTTGCGATCCATTTTTTTTCTCAACAGAATATTTTATAGAGTAAAATTTTGCATACATATGTGGTTTTTTTCGTGTGAAAAAGTGGTGGAGAAAACTATTATTTTTATATTTTTAACAACAATTTTATAAAAATGTATCCTTAAAAATTATTATTAAATAAATAAAACCTATGTTCTTGAAGAGCTTTTAATAAACAATGAAAACGACGGTTGAATTTTCATAATCGGTCAATTAGGTCATCTGTAATTGAATTTTGAATTAAAAAGGACAAAAAAAAACTTGTCGATATGCAAAAAAAAAATATTCTAAGGTCCTTTAATGGGGAAGATATCTATCACCATTCAATAAATATGGTGGGCGGGGCAAAGATAGAAATATTTGGGATCTTAAGTGTTTGCCGCTGCCATGCAAGGGAACGCGAAATTCAGTGTAGAATTTGGTTGGCAGGAAATAGGCTAAGACTATGAATCCGTCACGCTATGTTCAGATGCAAGGTGGGTTGTGCGACAGAGAGTTGTGAAGGAAAGAGAGACGCATGCTACGAAATATATAAAAAGAGAAATCCTGAAATGAAAGAGTGCGAGTAGTTTCGAGGTGCTGATGTACAGGTAAAACCTCAGAAACTTTTTCCAGAATATTCGGCTACTTACGAAAGGTTTTAACACCTCGGCAAGATGCAGTAGAATTAAGAACGGTAATCAGAAGAGAGATGTCCAAAGTATCGGCTGTAAAACCTTATGGAGTGCATTGTATGAAAGACTAAAACTGACCGCCGTCGAACTGATTGGACCTTCTGAGACCAGGTATTCACCACATGCCAAATCTTGAAAGAGATCTGCGATAGGAGTATCGACACACACCATCTCTTAGTCAATTTTAATTTGGCATCGCATTGGAAATGGACAGGACCTCTCCGTTTCCTTTGCCACCAAACGGATGTTTCAGACGAGGCGACTTCCTGTCGTGCGACTTCTTTAAAATGTATGCTGTAAGAAATAATAACGGCTGCACGACGGAATCGGCTCAGGTACAATAGGGGTCTTCCCATAAACTCGTAAAAGCCTTGTAAACCTCCTAAAGCTCGTAAAGTTACGAGCCTCCTAAAAGAACTGTGAAAATTTGTATGGAGCTCTATGCTACAAGCCCCTTGTAATAAAATTACGCGGCAAATTTGATGCGCCAACGACCTCGTAAACTTCAGTGTTGCCGAGGGGCCGAAATTTTTATACTAAAGCGTATGATAAAATAATGAAAATAAATTAAAAGAAAAAAAATGCCAATAAAATGAATTAATTTCATCCACTAATTGTATTGAATTAGGTTTTCTGCTAATTTTCGGCATTTTAAATTGTATTTTAGCCATGACTACGAAACAAAAATTGTTTAACAAAACCTGATTGATCTGTCACGCACCCATTTACACCTTTTCACACAGGGGTCGGTCGTTCCCATAAAAGCCATGTAAAGCTTAGGAGTTTTACACAGTTTAAGACCTTGCGAGTTTAAGGGAATCCCCTAAATATCTTACAGTCTGGATTTAACCAAAAAAAAATGTATTAAAGTAATTTCCCGGTTATATTTTGACAGAGTGTATTACTTATTAAATAAATCATATAATTATACAAGCATATTTACGATAAGAATTTTTCACGCCCATTACCTTATTTGCATCAATACTTTGCGGCGCTTGTGCGCTGGCCGACACAGCAAAACTAAATGGAAGCAGTAAGAGCACCAAGCATTTATTATAAACGTTCAGCATTTCGTTAAATGGATTTTTAAATCGTGAATTTATGCGATATTTGCTAGTATCCGTGTTGACACTGTCGGTTAATTTTTTTTCTCTTCTTTTAATTCAACTTCGGCATAAGCAGCTGAACTAATATCGCCAATTCACGTCGATACAGTTGAACAACTTTTTCGTTCAAAAATTTTTTGCACTTTTTTCCTCTTTGTCTTATCTTATTTAACAGGCCGCCAATTCANAAAAAAAAAAACAAACAATCTTACAAATCGTTGCGCCGTTTTAAGTAAATCGCTTCAGCGTATAAAAATTTCACAGACGTCTGTACGTTTCGGCGGTGGGCAAACGAATGGATACAACGTTGATATCGTTTTCGGTCTGCGCTAACAACCTCAATATCAACAGCAACAGCAACAGCAACAGCGGCAGCAAGAGCAACTATTGCAGCAACAACAACAACAACAAACATATGTAGTGTAGTAAGCGCCAACCGATGGTCATTGAGTCTGCTAGCAAACGCTTAAGCTTATAGTACGCCTTGTGCTTAAGCCGGTTTCGAAGGCGCAATCAATTGTTGGACGGACGCACGGACGCACGGACGGACGGACGGACGGGCGAACGTTTACTCAGAGCAAAATATGTAAATAAGTGATTACTTAGCATGTATGTATGTAGTAAGTACAAACAAACAGGTGTATAAATATAGAATTATTAGTAACAAATTGCGAGCAAATAGAGGTGAGAAGCGACAAGTATTTGGGTTCCACTAAAATTTAAAATTCTACGACCAATTTCGATTTGGATTGTAACTTAATTTACATATGTGGTTAAATGCATAAAAATGCTGTTTTTATGAGTTTATTAGCTTACCCCATCCACCAGCTATTTTGCTAATTTTTCATTTCAAATCTGTGTGTGTGTGTGTGTATTATACATATTATCTGTCTCAGCACTTTATCACAGTTCCATAATTCACAAAAATAACGGTACAAATATTTTCTGCTCTAGATTTGACTATTCATCTAAATCTCTTTAATTGATTCACCGTGCATGCTCTATAACTAGATTGACTATTTTTAAGTCGCATTTGCTTTTTCGACTCTCTTTATTCCTTTTTGTTATCACAACTGTTTGCACTTTCTGTTGGTTGTTTATTTAGCCTTGGCTTGTAGTTTGCGTTTTTGCCAATTTGCCACTTTTGCCGCTATAAATTTAAGCAAAACAACTTTAAAACGCATTTTTTTGCCTGAAATGAAACCGCTTCAGCAGAGTTCATTGTGTTAAGTGAAATTTATTAGCGGTGAACCGCTATTACTTAAAAAATTTTGCTTAGCACAGCGTAATAGGGCTACCGATTGAATAAGGAAAAAACATTTTTTTTTTAAGTTGATAATTAAAAAAAAAGGTTGAAACGGACTGAAGTGAAACTTTTTCTTCTTATTATCCGTATGGTTCACCATATCGAGCGCTAACCGTACAAAAAACGACGGCGACTTTTTCCTTTAATTTTTTGGGCGGTCAGTAAATGTTAATGTTAATGTTAATGTTAATGTTAATGTTAATGTTAATGTTAATGTTAATGTTAATGTTAATGTTAATGTTAATGTTAATGTTAATGTTAATGTTAATGTTAATGTTAATGTTAATGTTAATGTT